GAATTTTGGGAATCTTGCGGGGAATTTTGGGAGGAATTTTGGGATTCTGAGGGAGATTTTGGGAAAATTTTGGGATCCTGGGAGGAATTTTGGGATCCTGGAGGAATTTTGGGAATCTTAGGGGGAATTTTGGGATTCTGAGGGGAATTTTGGGATCATTTTGGGATCCTGGAAGGAATTTTGGGAATCCTGAGTGAATTTGGGGAATTTCGGGGAGCCAGGAGGAATTTTGGGAGGAATTTTGGAATCCTAGTAGGAATTTTGGGAATCTTAGGGGGAATTTTGGGAGGAATTTTGGGATTCTGAAGGGAATTTTGGGATCATTTTGGGACCCTGGCAGAAGAACCCAGGAGGGAATTTTGGGATCATTTTGGGAATCCTGGGAGGAATTTTGGGAATCCCTGCAGGAATTTTGGGATCCTGCAGAAATTTTGGGAATCTTGGGAGGAATTTTGGGTATTTTGGGAATCCCTGCAGGAATTTTGGGAATCCTGGAGGGAATTTTGGGTCCATTTTGGGAATTTTGGGATCATTTTGGGATCTTGGAGGGAATTTTGGGAATCCTGGGAGGAATTTTGGGAATCCCATGAGGAATTTTGGGAATCCCATGAGGAATTTTGGGAATTCCTGGAGGGAATTTTTGGGATCATTTTGGGATCCTGGAGGGAATTTTGGGATCCTGAAGAAATTTTGGGAATCCCTGCAGGAATTTTGGGATCATTTTGGGAATCCTGGGTGGAATTTTGGGAATCCCTGGAGGAATTTTGGGATCATTTTGGGATCTTGGAGGGAATTTTGGGATCCTGGGGAGAAATTTTGGGAATTTCGGGAATCCCTGTGGGAATTTTGGGAATCCTGGAGGGAATTTTGGGATCATTTTGGGATCCTGGAGGGAATTTTGGGATCCTGAAGAAATTTTGGGAATCCCTGCAGGAATTTTGGGATCATTTTGGGAATTTCGGGAATCCTGGGGGGAATTTTGGGATAATTTTGGGAATCCTGGGTGGAATTTTGGGATCGTTTTGGGACCCTGGAGGGAATTTTGGGATCCTGATGAAATTTTGGGAATCCTGGGAGGAATTTTGGGATCATTTTGGGATCTTGGAGGGAATTTTGGGATACTGGGGAGAAATTTTGGGAATTTCGGGAATCCCTGTGGGAATTTTGGGAATCCTGGAGGGAATTTTGGGATCATTTTGGGATCCTGGGAGGAATTTTGGGATCATTTTGTGATCTTGGAGAGAATTTTGGGAATCCTGGAGGGAATTTTGGGCATTTTGGGAATCCTGGAGGGAATTTTTGGGATTGTTTTGGGATCCTGGGAGGAATTTTGGGATCATTTTGGGATCTTGGAGAGAATTTTGGGAATCCTGAAGGGAATTTTGGGATCATTTTGGGATCCCGGGAGGAATTTTGGGAATCCTAGAGGGAATTTGGGGTATTTTGGGGATCCTGGAGGGAATTTCAGGTATTTTGGGAATCCTGGAGGGAATTTTGAGATCATTTTGGGATCCCGGGAGGAATTTTGGGATCCTTTTGGGATCTTGGAGAGAATTTTGGGAATCCTGGAAGGAATTTTGGGCATTTTGGGAACCCTGGAGGGAATTTTGGGAATCCTGGAGGGAATTTTGGGGATCCTGGAAGGAATTTTGGGAATTTGGGAACCCTGGAGGGAATTTTGAGATCATTTTGGGATCCTGGGAGGAATTTTGGGATCATTTTGGGATCTTGGAGAGAATTTTGGGAATCCTGGAGGGAATTTTGGGCATTTTGGGAACCCTGGAGGGAATTTTTGGGATCGTTTTGGGAATCCCGGAGGGAATTTTGGGAATCCCTGCGGGAATTTTGGGGATCCTGGAGGGAATTTTGGGAATTTCAGGAATCTTGGAGGGAATTTTGGGGATCCTGG